AGGACTTGGGCCAGTGTGCCCTATGGAATGTCAAACACTGATAGGAAGCTGTGGGAAGAGCTTCTGAGTTTGGCTTTTGGGCTGGATTCCTTTGAGGCTGTGAGACCCAAGGGGGTTTGGAGGCACTGAGCAATGCCATGGCTTTTCTGTGTCCTTCACCTCTGTGGCTCTCAGGGGTTGGGCTGCTGCCCTGGGAAGCTGAGGAGGGTGTGCTGGTGGCTCTCAGACCCCAGGGTGCAAACTTTCTATATCTGAGCTTCAAAAAGGTGCTGGGGAATTGCAACTGCTCCATCCTGTCAGCTTGGAAAGCCTTGAGAACATTCTGCCTTTCCCCTGCCAGAAGCTGTGTCCCCTCAGAGGGGACATGGGGAATTCATGAATATGTGCTGCTGAGGGGCAGCAAGATGGCCAGGAGGAGTTATCTCCTATTTCTCTGTGCTGTGCTCTCGTTTAGCACATTCCAGGGAGAAGAAAAGGACAATGTAGGGAACTAAACACAATTTCTCACAACCCCGGTGAGTGATCTGCCCTGGAAAGGGATCACTGCTGACAAAGGAGCCACTTCTGGATGTTTATTATGAGTTTTCTTCTAGCTAAGCTACTACTGAAAAGAAATATGTGATAACTCAGGTGAGGTGATTGAAGAGAGTTTTACATTCCTGCAGGGAAGATCTGCTCTGGCAAACGTGGTATGTGCGTGGTAACCCCCAAAAGGCAAGGTTTGGGCAGGGAGAGGTTAACAGGGGAGTGCTGGGAGCAGAGCTCCTGGAGGGTTTGGCTGAAGGAATGTGATTTCCCTGTGAGTGAGAGGGGACAGAAGCAAAGCTGCAAATGTGGAATTGGAATCTGTAATTCACCTGTAATTATTGAATAGGTGAAAACATCAGCCTGCTCTGTTGGTGCCTGAATCCATGCAGGAGAACTGGGGAGTGAAGAAGGTCTGAAACGAGCTGAGGGTGTGTCTGAAGGGCTGTGCCAGAGAACGGGTGGGCAGGATCCCTTAAATTCTGAGATTAAACCAAGGAGCAGCACTTTGGTTGGACATAGTTCTGTAGGAACAGCCACATCCTTAACGTGCCTTTGGATTTCTTTGGCTTTGTGGTTTTACAAATACAGGGAAAATGCCCCCCTGGAAACAGCAGGAAGCTTTGCTCCATTTTGGTTTTGTTAGGCTGGGTGTGGAAGGAACCTCACTGAATCCCAGAGTGGTTTGGGTTGGAAATGACCTTAAAGCCCATCCAGTTCCAGCCCCTTCCACTATCTCAGGTTGCTCCAAGCCCCATCCAACCTGGCCCTGAGCTCTTCCAAGTTCCCTCTGCCCAGAAAGCAAATCCACACTGGGCAGAGTTCATCATCAACTGTGTTGGACACTCACTGCATGGACAGCAGTGGGACAGGATCAGAGCCTGGGGACAGATGTTGGAGAGAAGGATCAGCCATCCCAGCAGAGGATAATGCTGAACTGGGAATAAATGAATCCCTGCAGAGGCTTTTCCAGGGATGCTGTGGCTTCTTTGACCACTGGCTTCAAGAAGAGGGTGACTGGTGATACATGACTGCCAAACCCAGCAAGCAGAACTTTCAGTGTTACCTTTGGGTTATGCTGGCAGATTTTTTGGGTGGTACTTTTTTAAGGACAATGATCCAGAAGCAGGATTTGTAAAAGGCAGGAGGTTGTGGCCAGGAAAACTCAGCCAGCATGGTTAACTGGCCAAGAGTGGGAAAACAGGATCTGGGCATTTCAGTGCTCTCCTTTCACAGCCTTTATTCACTGCTGGAAAGGTCAGAGTGATTCCCAGCTCTCCACCGAAGGTGGGAAGAACTTGCTCAGGATGTTATGGGACATGTTGTTTTGTGTGCACTAACTGCTTTTGTGATGGCAGATCAGTCCTTGATATTAAGAGGAAAATAACGTTTTCCTAATAAATGTCAAGTAACAGGCCACAAAATCAAAAGCATGAATCCTCTGGCATTATCAGTCTGACTCCCCAGATCCCTTGGTCAGGCTGGTGGGACACACTGAGCAACCAGCTCCAGGAAAACTCCAGCTAATTTAATTTTTAGCAAAAACCAAATGATTAAAAATAAAAAGTGAGTGAGTTGTCCTGGATTTGGGTTGAAATACTGACAATGAATTATTTTTTTTAGAGCAGGGAGGTTACATTGATACCAGTAGCCAAAGCACTGTACAGCAGGTGGGGGAGTGTATCTTAATAGTCAAACTATGAAAAAAAAAAAAAGGGAAAAATGGATTGTGGAACACTGCATGTTGGGTGTGGCCAGATTCTCTCTAGACCATGTGGTGTCATGAGCAAGCAAGGGATGTGGTCAAGATAGACATGATGGTTTGGGAATCCTCTTGGAGAAGAGTAACATTGGATGAGTAATTGTCACGTGGGAGGATCTAAAATGGGGCTGGAGAAAGGACTGGTCTGGTCTAGGGCTTGGCAATATTTCCACAAAGGGATTTTTGAAGAAAGCTCCTCTCCAGGGCTGGCTGGGTGGGTGATGCCTCTGGTGGAAGGAATGGGATTCACTCATCAGCTCCCAAGACCATTTCAAGCCAGGTTGTGATCAAGGATAAAGTGCTGAAGGATAAAGTGCTTTGGCTATAGAGCAGCTCTTGGGAAAGAAATGTGGGGATGGATTGTGAATTTGTCAGAGGTTTCATGGACTTGCAGCAACCAAAGCAGAACAAGCCAACTGGAAATACAATCCTCAGATATCCATAAAACTGCTCCCCACCATGCACCTGGAATGCTCCCTTAGTTTCTCCCGGCATGGGCAAAGCTTGTGGCATGTCCAGCTTTGGGCAGTGAGTTTTGAGAAAGGAAGTTTTGGGTTGTTAAGTGGGAACAAGGATGGGCTGGAAGACGGGTTCTGAGAGGAAAGAGACTTCACCCCTTATCAGTAAGGATCTTGCTGCAAAACCTTGGTGAGTCAATATAAAGGAAATAATGGAATAGTTAAGGCTGGAAAAGCCCTCTAAAGGCATCAAGTCCAACTGCTAATCCAGTGCTGCCAGACCCACCCATGTCCCCAGAAACATGCTTTGTATATTCCATTGACTTCTCACACTCTCCGGCCATAATTCAGTAACTCCTGATCTAGAGAAAGTGGGAGGGAATTGTTTTGAGAGTGTTTTGCTGGAAAAAGGACAGGGACTTCTCCATGGGAGTGTTAGGCTGGAGTGGGACAGAACAAAGTTCTGGGAAGGGCAGAACACTGGTGGCAGCTGGAGGCACTGGGGCCACAGGTGAATTATTCTGATGACTGCAGTTCATCCCGTTCCATGGCTGGGCTTGATGACTCCTGATATCTCAAGGGCTCTGCTTCCAGATATTTCCTGCCGTGATGTGGCTGGAATATGGAGATGTGCTGGATGAGGAACCTCCCCACTTTTGCCCCTCTGCTCATTTCAGGTCACCTTCTATGAAGACAAGAACTTCCTGGGCCGTTACTACGAGTGTGACAGCGACTGCCCCGATTTCCACACCTACCTGAGCCGCTGCAACTCCATCCGTGTGGATGGAGGCACCTGGGTGGCCTACGAGAGACCCAACTATGCTGGGAACATGTATGTGCTGACCCACGGGGAGTATCCCGACTATCACCACTGGATGGGCCTCAACGACCGCCTGGGCTCCTGCAAATACATCCAGATCGTAGGTGTCACCCCTTGCCAGGGGATGCTGTCATTCATACCCAGCCTGAAAGGGGGGGAATGTGGTGCTCATCTTCCTGGGGAGCCACAGAGGTGGGGGCTGCAGGGGGTTTGTTCTGGGAGCAGCAAGGTGTTTGGTGTGGGGACAAGGTGAATCTCTCCCACTCTGGATTGCAGTGGGAAAAGGCAGATCCCTTGGAGTGTGGGTGAGTTTCCATAGGAACAGCAGTGTAGTTTCATCAGCATGTTCCTATAGGGATTTTAGTGCCCAGGCAGGTTGCTCCAAAGTTTTCCCCTCACTCTTTCCCTGCTTGTAACAGTGGAATATAGGTTTTGTAGGAACATTTGGAATGAGGGGCAGTTTCCTCTCTAGCAAGCCAGGACTCTTCTGATACAGGGAACTGAATCTGTGTCACCAAACCCCTCTGGGCACGGAAAGGTCAAGCCCAGCAGCAGCCCTGGAGTACCCAGAAAGGGAGGGATGCCTGGAGCCCTCCTTGGCCATGCGTGGAGCTGCCTGGTGCCTCCTGGTATTAGCAGACCACAGAAGGTGTGCTCATCCCCTCCTAACTGATGATGGGGAGAAGGGAATAGAGGGAATGATCCTTTTGGGAAGCCTATGGGAGGAGCATCCTTTAAAACTGGGATTGTGGATGAAGTGTGGATTGGTGCTGCTGCTGCTGAGGTTTTGCCAGTAGTGGGGCAGACACTGGTGATCCATGGGACTTGGAGCACGGCCATGAATTCCCACTGCATGGAGCAGATCTCACAATTGAGAACGGGTTTTGCTTTTCTGCCTGGGAGTCTAACGTCCCTCTGAGCCCGTTAGAGCTGGGTCTAAATCCCTTTTCATGGGGCAGAGAGAGTTTCCAGCCCGTTCAGATCACTGATCTGGCTTAAGACACGAAGCGAGATGTAAGAGCAGCACAGCTTCCTCCATCAGGAGGAATGTGGGAGCCTTATCCTGCACACCCACCTGGTACCTGGCTTTGCCACCTGGGCTGGGGGGACCCTGCAGAGCTGGGCTGGGGCTGGCAAGGAGGGAAGCGATGTGCAGGCACTGCAGATCCCGTGCCTTGGGGCAAGGAGCGCTCCCAGTCCCGGTGGGAAGCAGCGCTGCCCCCGCAGCAGCACGGCCCCGCCGGGGTCAGCAGCTCATTAAAGTCCTCTCGGCCCGGAGGAGACGGGACTGGAGGAGGTCCGGCTCTCTGATGCTCACATGGAGCACTGAGGGGTTGGTTCAAGGCTTTCGGGATAGCGAGACCGGCACTGCTGACCCATCCTTATCCCTGCCTTCCTCCCCACGGTGGGGTGTGAGCTGGAGCTGCTCTGCACGTGATGCTCTGTTAAAATTTACCCCAGCTGCTTCTCCCTGTGCTTTTGGAGGCTGACGTGAGATTTCAGCCCTGTCGTGATGTGCTGGGCGGGGTTGGTACCTGATTTGAGTCTGTCTGTGCCCCAGCTCTGCCCCTAAATCAGAGCTGGGACATGTCATGCTCCATCCGATGCTCTGGTTGCCAGTGAAGTCACCCAGAGAAGCTATGGCTGCCCCATCCCTGGAAGTGTCCACAGCTGGGTTGGATAGGGCTTGGAGGAACCTGGGATAGTGGGAGGTAGAGCTGGATGATCTTTAATCCCTTCCAACCCAAACCATTCCATGACTCTATGCCTTTTAATTTTTCTAGCCAAGTGGAGGCCGAGGCCACATCCAGGTGTTCGAGAAGGGAGATTTCGGCGGGCAGATGTTCGAAGCCACCGAAGACTGCCCCTCCATCATGGAGGAGTGGCACATGCGTGAGGTGCACGCCTGCAGGGTGCTGGAGGGCGTCTGGGTGTTCTACGAGCATCCCAACTACCGGGGCCGGCAGTACGTGCTGCCCAAGGGGGAGTACCGCAAGCCCGTGGAGTGGGGAGCGGCCAGCCCCGCCGTCCAGTCCTTCCGCAGCATCTCCGAGTGAGGCAGCCCCGTGAGCGGGCTGCCACAACCCCCCCAATAAAGCAACTGAGTCGCTCAGCTCCGCCTCGTCCTGATTATTCCCGCGATTTGCGTGCTAAGGTGTCCTGTCTCGGGGGGGCTGGGCTGGAGCGGAGCCTTCTCTGAGCAAAACATCCCCTGGCTCGTTGTCACCCCCCTTCCCCATCCCCTGCCCTCTGTCCCACTGTTCTTATAGGACAAAGCCATCCCGAATGCTGGGGACCCTGGCAGCCCAGTGTGTCAGGTACAGGATGTCCCCTGGAGGTGTGAGCCGAGGGATTCAGGTGCTTAAACTGAGCCGGGGAGCTGGAAGCAGGAGAGCAGGCTGGATGTGGGATAGAGGCAGTGAGTGCCTCTGGGAGGTGGCTGCTGACTGATCCTGAAGGGCAGGAAAAGCTCCCTGCACACCTGAGATGTGCAGGGAGCAGAGAGGGCTCCCAGTTAGCCCAGTTTGCCACCACGAACATCCCATTTTGCCCGGTGCTGCCAGAGGAGGGGCAGGTCCCAGGCACATCCTCCCGGGCAGGGATAACTGATGGCTGGGCGCTCTTCCCCTGGGACCCCGGGGACCTGCAGCCGGTTTGCACACGGAGCCGAGGGGCTTTGGGACAGTGACGCTGCAGGTGGAAGCAGAGCCCTCCCGGCCATGCTCTGCAGCCTCCCCGTTGATGTATGAGGTTATTACGGAGCAGGGAGCCAGGGTAAGTGATGCTCGTCAAACCACGGGGCTGCCGCCTCCCGGAAAGCTGCTGCCGGTGGGGAATGGGAAGGAGCTGCCAAGAGGGGCAGCTCCAGCCCCCTGGACTTCCCTCAGCACAAAGACGAGCTGAAGACTCGCCTTTTCCTTCTTCCTCTTCCTCCTCTCCCTGCTGTCACCCCTCTCCTTTAGTGCCCTGTCCCATTCCATCCTTTCCCTGCAAAGGTTGATGCATCTTCACCCACTCCCATCCCTCCTCCACTCCTCTCCATCACGGATCAGCAGGATGCTGATGATCCAGCAGCATGGTTGGGTTTCACTGTATTTTCCCCCATAATATTTCTCCAGCACCAACCAGCCCTCAGCTCCAGCTCCCCTTTTCCCCCTGGCTCCTGGCAAAGCTCTCCAAGCTTTGAGCACAGCCTGGTTCCTGTTTTTTTTTTGACAGTGACTCTGTTGCTGTCCCTGTTGTGGATGGAAAATCTGTTGTGTGTAGGCAAGCTCCACCCAGCGCATTTCCAGCCATCTCCCACCCTGATTTTGGGGACTGTCCCCCTGTCCCCATCCCACATGCCCTGCACTGGATGGGTTTGGGATGCTCCAGCTCTGTGGCTGCTAGTATGCATCCACCCTGGAGCATTGGGAGCAAGACCTGGATCTGCTTTGCCCTTAAGGTGACATTTTCCCATGTCCTTCCCTTGTCCTGCTGATCTCTCCACTTTTAAAACCCAATTATCCCAAGTCTTCCCCCCTTCTCCTTGTCCTCCAGACTCTTGCCCTTGGGTGAAAGTTGCATCCTCAACGTTTGCAACCAACACAAATAACAATAAACTGCTACTTGGGTGGTTTTTATATCATTAGTTTTTTATTTTATTGTTATTCCAGACAACTTTTTCCATTTTTCCCTTGCCACACGGCAGCACACAGAGCAGGGCGCCTGTGGAGATGAGCGGGGAGCGCAGCAATCCAAGCCCAGCCGTGCTGATGCCGGTTTTTCCTTGACAGCTAATTTCCATTTCCCAGTATCAGGGGGTCTGCTCCAGTAATTGGCATGCAGATTGTGTCCGGTGGGCCTGTTAGACACGAGCAAAGGCTCTGCTGCTTGGAATAAGCCAACCCCAGGCTGATGGATGGGGTGTAAGGAGGTCATGGGGAGAGAGAATATCCAGATGCCCGTGTGCACACACCTACGAAATTCCCCATTCCATGCCCTCCCCCCATCCCTACTTTCTTTATCCAGCAAACTCTAATCTATCATATTTCATTGAGACAAATCCTGCTCCGTTTCTCTCTCTTTCCCTTTTTCCCTCTAAGGGAAATGTGATGGAACCTGCTCCTGGATTTAATGAGAAGATGGTGTGGTGTAGCAGGAATTAAAGCGGTGCCATGCTTCATTAGCAGTTGGGGATCACAAGGAGCAGGCCCAGATGTTAATTACACTTTGGGAATTAATTGGTATAAGGCATTATTCTCCTCCATCATCTGTAATCCGGTGGGTATGTGAGGACTTCTGGAAGCAGAGACCTCCAGGCAGGTGTCTCTCTGTCTGTCTGTCTGCCTGTCTGTCCCCCCTCCTCAGCCTGCCTGGCACCGGCCATGACTGAGGAGCACTGGCTGGTTTGGAAATTTTGAAGTCACCTTCATTTCCATCCCCTTGGTGCCCAAGGCCCTGCTGTAATTTTTTCCTCTTTTCCTTCATGTGCTAAACTCCTCCAAAATTTTTTTCCAGCTGCTGGGGAAAACAGGTCTGGATGGGATGGGGTGATGGTGGGAGGTGGCAGTGTGCTGAAGGAGGAAAGAACACCCCCCTCAGAGCTGATCCCCAGTGGCTCCAAGGACTTCCTAGTCCTTTCTGCTCCTTGACCCATCCTTGCTGGTCCATCCCTTCCCTCCAGCTCTGGAGGCAGCCAGGGGACCTCAATCTGCCCCTGCAGCACCTCTGCTGCTGAAATATCCCACTTCTCCAAGGCCAGCAGTTTCCAGTTTCTTCCCTTTTCCACCTTAGGTTCAGCCTGATGAAATGCAAAAGCTGCTAAAAAATTGAGGGGGACATTATTTTGCTAGAGGACAGAAATGGCCCTAATTGTGGGACACAGCCACCACAGCCAGCCCAGGCTCCCATTCTCCCTCCTTTTCCCGAGGTTCTCAGGGCTTTGTGGCTCTTCCCTTGGCAGTGCTGATGCTCCTTGGTCTCGAGGTTTCAGCACCTTGATGCACATTTGTTCTGCCAGCAAACATCACTCCTGAATGAGAGCCACTGTCCCTCCAGACGTGTGTGGATGTGGCACTTGGGGACGAAGATGTGGCAAACCAGAGCAATTCAAGGCCACTTTGCTAGGAGTGAAAAAAAACAATGTTTTCAAAACTCCAAAATTAATGGTGTTAGGGTTGGATGGAGAAAGGAGAGGAGATATTAAATCCTTTTGTTTAAACATTCTTGATTTTAGGTCTTGATTATCAGTTTAGAGGTGGGCTTGGCAGTGCTGGGGGAACAATTGGTGATTTTAGGAGACTTTTCCCACCTAAACAATTCTATAAATTTGTGATTTCACAGTTCCATGATTCTATGATTCCACAATTCTATAGTCTATGATTCTGTGATTCTTTGTTTCCATTATTCTGTGACTCAGGGCAGCACTTCATTGCCATCTGCTTCCCTTGAAGCCCTGCTACTTCAGATCCTGCATTTCCCTCTGTCTGCTCACTGCACCCCAAGTCCTGAATTAGAGATTCAGCCTCCACCTCAACCCCTGCCTGGGCAGTCTGAAGGCCCTCTCAGTGACTGCAGCCCCCACTTTGGTTTTGGCAAAAACACTTTCCAGGTGTTGTTTTTCCCTCTGTTTAATTTGTGGCCCACTCTGTGTGTCCCCTGCTGGTCCTGGCTCAGCTATGGTTTCAGGATGATCCTTCTGAGCCTGTGGGGAAAGCGTGGCCCAAATCTGGGCGAGGAGCTTTGGAGCTGGTTTGTAACTCTCACACAGATATTCTGGAGACTCCATCACTGTCTGGCCACTGTCACACACGTCCTGTATCCCAGAGGTGTCCATGAGTGTGGGAGTGGTGCCATGGGAAGGAGCTGCCTCTCCAGGATGTGTGTACGGGCTTGAGGGATGCCGGCACCCCAAATGGGGCTCTGAGATCCCCTAGAATTGCACAGGAAAGGAGAGGAGAGAGGGAGGGGAGGGCACTTCGCAGGGTGCCATCCTTCTCTTTGCCAGAGCCCAGCAGAGGGCAATAGAAGCAAATGTAAGAGACGAGACCTCGCGAGGGACGTGCGACAGGAGCAGATTCCAAGGCAGAGCGACCTGGAAGCGGAGGGATGTGCAGGAGGGTGTGCAGGAGGGTGTGCAGGCAGGAGGATGTGCAGGCAGAGGGATTGCTCAAAACAGAGCAATTCAAGGTTATTTTTGGTAGGAGTTAAAGCAAACCGATGCTTTCCTAATTCCTAAATCTATCTCTGTGGGGTTGGATGGAGAAGGAAAGAGAAATATTTTACCCTTTTGTTTAAACCTTCTGGATTTTAGGTTAGTTTTTCTGGAAAGCACTGCATGGGTGATCACATCCAGTGGATGATGCTGGGAGGAAAGGCTCAGAGAATTCCCAGCCCCGAATTATATTCCACCTGGATAATTGTATGACTGAGCCCAGCTCAGTTTCTGGATCTCCTGGAAATCAAATTCCACACGTGTCTGGAGCCTTCTTTTGGTTCTGGCAGGAGGGATGTGCCCCAGGCTGGGGCTGGCACTGCCCACGGGCTCCCTTCGTCCCTGCAGAGGGAAAACCACGGCAGGCTGTGGGGGGAAACAGCAGGGAAGAGTTGGGAACAGCATCCTCTGCCACCTTCCTGCTGCTGGACCCGCTGGGACAGAGCCTGGGCAGGAGCCTCCTCTCCTGCTCTCTGTTACTGCTCCCTGCAGACTCCAGCCTGGCTAGGCAGGTATTCCCAGCTGCATTTCCCACATATCCAGGTCACCTCCCTATGGTTTTAAAGCTTTTTTCCCCTCCAAATTCTTTGGAATCACACAGGGACGTTTAACAAGGAAAGCTTTCCACGGCAAGAGCGTGATCCTACAGCTGCCCTCACAGCCGGGACAGGGCATCTGCAGAGACACGGCGGGAAAGTCTCTCCTGGTAGATTCCCGCCTGAGACCTTGTCATTTTTTGGGGAAAACAGCAATTATTTCAAAAGAAAGGCTGAAATTCCCGTGGCTGGGAGCTGCAGGTGGCCGGGAACAGGCAGGATCCAGGATGCCCAGGAGGTCCGGACACCCCAGGAAGCAGCTGGG